TATCTTGAACGGCTATTTCTTCAGCTGGGCTTGTTTGCAAGTTATTCAAGTTATAACGCGTATGAAAACCTCATGAGATGAACGAAATCACAGATGTAAAGCTTATTTATTGATGACATCCTCTTGTTTTGCATCGCTAACAGAAATAGCAGTTTCTGAGAGATAAACGATAATTTATCGTGAGAGCGTCTAAAAATCGTTAAAAAGTACTCGCCCTAATATTGTGCTTTACATTCTTCTCTCGAGGAGGAAACCACTATTTCTTTGAACGGTTACCGTATTAAAGATGATTACGTTAATCTGATCACTTACATCTAATAATAGATGCTTCACTTCTCCAGAACAAGGTGTATGATATTCTTTACCCATCTCTCTCTCCAATACCAATTTGTTTACACCAGTCTTGCGGGCAGTGGGTATCCCAACAAATGTGTGTGGGACTTAAGTTAAAATCGTAACCTTCTGCGTAGCTATTTGTAACCAGCCTAATTTTTATTCATCTGTATATTAACAACACTTCACGTCAGTTTCATTCAACAAACCGTGCTATAAACCGTGCTATAATATATTTGTTGCTTCCCTACTCGTATTCTACTTACAGAGATCGACTGTCCTTCCGATTCTTCACCGGACAATGAAATTAACAACTATTCCAATAATTAGCCGTCTACTATATTATACACAAAAATACTCTATTTATTTACTCGCTGTTAAATAATCCCAACCAGTGTTTGCGGGAGATCTGAATAAGTTTTCTTAAAACACTTGACACTGTTCTTTCTCGCACGATTCTCTCTTTCTTGCCAACACACTTAAAGGATACATATTTTAAAAATAACTCATTAAATACTTGGCATATTATTTCAAATGAATTTCCGTCTTCTACGATATTTGTTCCATTTCTTTTAGGTCAGGGGAAACCTGCAAATGGAAAAAAATGTGCAGGATGCTTTGAGTCACTTTCCCTACAATTAAGAGAATTACATTTATTCTCAATGTGAACAAAAACTGTTCAAGGCGATAGTTAACCACTATTCACCGAAGTGGATGTGGCTAGTGATTCGAAGTGATGGATATCTATTCATCACTAGCCACCGGCACTATGGTGAACAGTTGTTTTAGCCTACACTAAATAATATGAGATGTTTACGGCATGAAAAGTTTATTTTAACTTATTTATTTCTGTAACGACTATAATATTTTCGAGTGCAAATCCCGCGCGAATTGCCCAGAGGTAATTAAAAGGCGATATTCGGCGTTTGAATAGCCAATCAGAGCGTTTCTTCGACGTTATCCACAGTTTTAGTGTACATTAATTAAGCTTGGCTAAGATTGACCCAAACTTGCCGTATTGATTGACGGCAATACAATACTGATTCATCACAAGAATATGTTAAACATAATACTAATGACAACAATTCCTTACGCAACAATGACAATGAAAATTACTGGTAATACAAGGATCGTACTCACTTGGAAGGTACATCCGGTGGAAATTTGAATATCTTGAATAGATACACCGGGCCACAATTCTGTTAGTATGAGACCATTCTCTTTACATACTTCAAATACGCACTGCAAGTCAAATACATAAATAACAAATTAAAAACAAAAAATTAAAAAAATAAAGAATATTATCATGTGGAAAAAATCCCACCGTCATCGAGAACATCTTAAACTTAGGCATGGGTTTTAATAAATGGAATTTTTATTACCATCATCACGCGAAGGCATCGCATCGACATGCAACTCAACGAAGTTTTCAGAATGTAAGTTACCGTAAACAAACCTCGTTGAATTCCCAGTCAGACTGCAAAGGTAAGTCTCTGATGGCTCAGAGGCAGGGCATCCGTTGTAACAATCACAAAGTTATTAGATCAACCTCTGTTTAGATGTACGTGCACTATATTTTCCTCTAAGTTAAATTCGGTCGATCTGAAAAATCCCTTCATACCTTACAGGCACATGTACAAGTTAGTTTTGAGACACAACAATGAGTTCGTCTGTTTGTTTCTTTGTTTGTTTGTTTGCTTTGGTTTTTTTTTTTTCATTTCATTGTTTGTTTGTCTTTGCCGGGTCAACATACATAGATATTTTCATTTCGTTAGAGAGAGGTTTCTAAAGCTGGCAAATGATGTGCTGCAGGTCACGCTGGGATCTCTCACAGGTCTCGAAGTGTAAGCGCTATTCGATTGAGTGCCTTGAAACCAAAACCGCTAGGAGGCTGTAAATTGTAGCCGAGGTCTAATACAAGATTTTGCAATGTATTTATAACATAAACAACGACCAAAAAACAACTACCTTTTCTGTGATAATCATGTTAACGCAGTTTGTGCCCGTCAAGGGAAGCGTACAGTTTTCTAAGATCTTATGTTTATCTCCCTAAAACAGAAAACATTCACGCAAATAAGGTGACAATGAGTTGATGCATCATTCATTTTGGGTTTTAAATCACCAATCAACTAGTGTCAGGTCACGAATCGCTAAACCTGGTCCTGCACTTTTTATTCCGTTTTCTGTCTCTTTTCTCTCCTCTCGAGCCTT